AGGCAGACAGTCGGGAGATGCAGCGACCCAGGCCAGATGTGTATAAGAGACAGACTTGGGAGGCTTAGTGTGAGTTTGGGGCTGCAGTGAGCTAAGATTGCACCACTGCACTCCAGCCTGGGTGACAGAATGAGACTGTGTCTCAAAAAAAAAAAAATTCTCTTTTTGATTCCTGTTTTGAGGTGGGGCCACTTTGGAAATGTGTCTGCTTTGGGAACCTTTGTTGACCGTGGCTTCGCTCCTGTTCTGGGGCACACGTCAGGTGTGACTGTACACGATGGCAGCTGTTGGCCCCGCCCGCCCTGCGCCCAGCACCTCTCCAAGGCTGCTCTGTTGGCCCCGCCCGCCCTGCGCCCAGCACCTCTCCAAGGCTGCTCTGTTGGCCCCGCCCGCCCTGCGCCCAGCGCCTCTCCAAGGCTGCTCTGTTGGCCTCGGCTCCCGGGCTTTGGGGGAGCAGTGGAAAGAACACGTGGGTTCAGTGTTTGCCACTTGCTGGCTGTGTGGTCACGAAAGGCTCCTCCGTAAGTGGCAGAGGTGGGGGTTCGAGGAGACTGGCACTGAGCCCGGCACGCGGTGGGACTGGTGACTCTCCACACGCTCCTGCTCTGTAGCAATTGCCATCCCTCCCACCATGGCTCCTGGTGGCCTTGGGATGGGTTCCCGAGGGTCTCCTGCTGTCCGGCCCCAACTCCTGTTCCCAGTGCCCCCACCCCCGGAGCCCTGTGTCTCTAACTGAGGCTGACGTGGGTTGGCCTGGAGGCCCTGCCCCATTACTCTGGGTGCACAATGTATGCCTTTTCCTTCATACCTGTTTCCGGGAAAGAAAAAAATGCTCCGTTTTATGACTGCTCCATATTAGAAGACAGGCAGTGTGGAAAGAAGAATCAGGTTGTCCGTTCAGTTTCTTAGTTGTAGTGAAGCGATGCATGTGTCTGACAGACGCTGGCGGGCAGCCGTGCTGGAAAGGAGCAGCATGACTTAGGGGTTCTCTCGGTTTGGTTCTAAAGTCATCGCTGTGCCTGAACCTCAGGGTGACCCGCTGTGTCCCTGGCCGGGGACTTCTTCGACCTCAGGGTGACCTGCTGTGTCCCTGGCCGGGGGCTTCTCCGACCTGAGAGTGACCCGCTGTGTCCCTGGTCTCGGGCTGCTCTGACCTCAGGGTGACCCACGGTGTCCCTGGTCAGGTCCTTCTCTGACCTCAGGGTGACCCACCGTGTCCCTGGTCAGGTCCTTCTCTGACCTCAGGGTGACCCGCTGTGTCCCTGGTCTCGGGCTGCTCTGACCTCAGGGTGACCCACGGTGTCCCTGGTCAGGTGCTTCTCTGACCTCAGGGTGACCTGCTGTGTCCCTGGCCAGGGGCTTCTCCGAGCAGAGCTGCTGTGTGCTCACCGTGCTGCCTTTGTTTTAGGATGCAGCAGTCTCAGCCCTGGCCACTCTCTGCAGTGAATATTACATGAAGGAGCCGGGGGAGGCAGATCCCGCAATTCAGGGTGAGTGGGGGCCCTTTCCTTGAAGGCTCCAGGGGCTTCCAGCAGGAAGCTGCTCGGGGAGTGTCTGGGCACGGAGGAGGCCTCAGCCGTGCAGGGGAGCAGAGCCACCACCATCACGGCTGGAGCGGGACTGTTCGGGTCTCAGGTTCCCGGCCGAGGACCTCTGGGCAGGTCCCACAGCGGCCCAGGGTGTTGCATCACCCTGAGCAAGCAGCTCTGCAGGGGGCCCTCTGTTGACGGCACCCTGGCAGCTGGTCCTGGAGCACAGTGTTCCTCACACTTTCAGTTGTGTTTTCTTACATTACATTTATTTATTTTATTCTTTCAGACAGTCTGGCTCCGTCACCCAGGCTGGAGTGGCGTGACTCACTGCAGTCCCCGCCTCCCAGGTTCAAGCAATTCTCCTGCCTCAGCCTCCCGAGTAGCTGGGATTACAGGTGCCCACCATCACGCCCGGCTAATTTTTTGTATTTTTAGTAGAGACAGGGGTTTCTCCATGTTGGTCAGGCTGGAATCGAACTCCTGACCTCAGGTGATCCACCCGCCTCAGCCTCCCAAAGATCTGGGATTACAGGCGTGAGCCTCTGTGCCCGGCCAGTGTTTTTAGAATTTTTGTGCACACCGTGACATTTTTCTGGTGTGTGTTCTTCACTTGTTAATATGTTTTGCTGTTTTTTCCTTCTTTGTGAAAGTAGCATAAGGCTGGCTTTACTGTGTCCCATGCATGGCTGCCCTGCCGCCTCACTGTACGTCCTGCGCCCCCTGTCCCGTGCGTGGCCACCCTGCTGCCTCACTGTGCGTCCTGTGCCCCCGTCCCATGCATGGCTGCCCTGCCGCCTCACTGTACGTCCTGCGCCCCCTGTCCCGTGCGTGGCCGCCTCACTGTACGTCCTGC